CACTCCAGCACATCCTGGGAACAAAGCCAAGGGCCTGGGTTTCTGCCTCACTCTGCATCTGAGACTTCTCATCCTCTTTAAATGGATGGAAAGCTGTCTTCTTGATGCTTCTTTGCAGCACGTGCAAGGGGCCAGCACTGCTTGACCGCTCACCCCAATCTCCAGGCAGCACCTCTTCATCACGTCCACGTTGGACCCGGCCGCCAGGGCTTCTGGCCACTGGAGACGTGCTGACGCGGCGACGTGGCTCCGACCCCGACAGCGCTGTAACCGCAGAGGAGGACTGCGGAAAACACCTACAGCAAGTGAGTGTCACTCCAGGACCAAGAGCGAGAGAACGGAAATTAAGTCCTCAGGCACCAGAAATACAGAGAAACTCAGAGCAGAAACGCAAAGCCAATTCTGTGGGGCACAGAGCAGACCTCGGGGCTCAAGGCTGGACGATCAGTGCCCACGCAGCGAGCTGGGCCCAAAACATCCAGCTACAGCTGTGCAGATCCAAGTGTACCTGAAAAACATGACCAGGATGTGACAAATCCCAGGCCCCTGGCCTCCACTGGGGCCTTGACGCTGCCCAGCTCATGTCCAGTAGCCCACTCTGCCCTCCCTCCCACAGCCCAGTGGAGATCGGAGCCTGTCCAGCTGCCCTTGGGCCTCGCCAGCCCCGTCACAGGTAGGAAGTGCCTCTCCCCTCCCTTGACAGAAACCCTGGGCCATCAAGGGAAGACCACTCCACCGTTTGCCCCTCAGCGTCTTATCCCACCTGCCCGGCCTCGGAGATGTCCTTCCTCCTGCACAGAAACAAGCCCCATCCAAGCCCTGACCACGTCACCCCTCTCACCTTGGGGACCCCCGTCCACTCCCCACCTCTCTGTGCAGGCCCTTCACCTCTGCCCTGTTACTGGCTCTTTCCCTTAATCACGGGATCCTGTCGCATCTTAAAAGAATGTCAAAACCCTTCCCTTCGCCTCAGCGTTTCTGTCGCTGTGGCCCGGCTCGCATGGATGAAGTGTGCGAGCCGGGGCCCCACACCCGCCACCATCGCTCCTGGTCAACCATTTCCTCTTCGACCCGTGGAAGCCTGGGTCCTGCTTTCCCATCACCGGAAGTAAAATCTGAGGGACACCGGACAGGACATTTTCTGCATCTGACACTGATTGTCCCTCCCTCCTCTGCCAATGTCCCTCCCCTCACTTCTAACCCCTCCTGTGGTTTTCTTCCCTCCTCCCTCAAAAGCTGGTGTTCTCTGGGATTTTTTTTTTAAACTTTCCTTTCCTGGGATTTCATTCACTACAATGGCTGCAACCAGTCCATGTGAGCTTGCACATTCAGAAGCCAGCTGTACATCCTAAATCTGTCCTCGGAGACCCCAGCCCACACGTGTAAGTCCACCAAGATCCCAGGCATCTTGCAGCAGCGGGGGCTGGTGCTCCCGTTCCCCCAGTTCTGTGCAGGTCTCCTGCTCTCCAAAAGCCAGCCCCTGCCCGTCTGCGCCAGGCAACACACCCATTCATCTTCATGAACGTCGGGGCCAGAACGCCTAGAAATGAGCACCCTGCTAGGAGGACTTGCAACCGCTGTGTGAGGGGCACTGGGCTATGAACACCCCAGCTACCTCACTCCTTGGCCTGGGCGATTCTGGGGTTCGCCTTTTGCCCCGTTCCCAAGAGTCCCCGTGGAACGCAGCTCCAGAGTCGCCGGTTGCCCCAATATCACACCTTCATCTGCTTCCTCCTCCTCACATCACCTCTGCCCTCACTCATGTTCTTTACGTCAGCCCACTCGCCACGCTCACTCAAACCCTGGCTCACACTCTGCTTCCAGGGAAACCCAAAGTGAGACACTCCTGACCTGCAGATGCTTACGCAGCTCGCCGTACTTTCCCAGCTCTTCCCTCCCCTGCTCCTCCTGCCTGCTGCATGACACCAGCTTTCAGCCAGAGCCAGGGGCCCAGCTCGTCCTGCCTCGTTGCATGTCTGGTGGGCTTTTGCGTCTTAACATCCCTGGAATCTCCCTTCTCCCCCGTCACGACCTTAGCTAAGCGCTCCTCCAGCTCTTCCCTCATCTTCCCAAGCCCAGCCTTGCCCCTCTCCAGCCACCTTCCTCTCCTCCAACACTGTTTCCAAGCTGGCAACCAGTTCATGTATTTCCTCTGATTCACGTCTTCCAAAGCCCCCCGTTGCCTAAGGAGAAAACCAGCACTGTTCCAACGACACTGGAACCTTGAACTCACACACACACCCCTCAGATACTGGCCTTGGCCGGTGGTCCCCACACGCTGCCGATCAGAGCACCTGTCAAGCACCATGGCAACCGTGTGTCTGCTCGTCTGGCTCCCCAGCCAGGCTCTCACAAGAGGCCACCGTAAAGTTTGTCCCTTCCTGCACCCCAAGCCCCTACAGATCGCCTGGCATGTAATGGGAAGCAAATCCATGCCCTCGAGTCAGCGAAGAAAAGAATGAATGAGTGAATGCAATGAGCTGGTGCGCCTGCTTTTGCTCATCCAACATCTCCTCCCCTTCGAGTGCCGGGGGGGTCCCCACTTTCAGAGCCTAGCAGGAGGCCAAAACGACCCTCCAGCGGCGCTGCGCAGGCCACATTCTCGCTTTTCCAGACGCCTTGCTCTGGCTCTGTGACCAAGGTTCTGCCAACCAGACCCAGTGTGTGGGACTCAGACGCAGTGAGGCCGAAGGTGGGGCTCAGGGCGAGCGGAGCTCAGGGGAGGGGCCGCGCTGCTCTGCCTCTGCCTCTGCCTCTGCATGTGCGCCTCTCTCTCCTTCTATTTCTCTGCCTCTGCTCTCGCTTGTTATTTCCCTTTAATTCTCTCTGCCTCAATCTCTCTTTTATTCTCTTTCCTTTTCTTTCTTTCTCTCTGTCTCTGTCCCTCTCACTTTGTCTCTCTGTGTCTCTTTGTCTCTTGCCATCCCTCTGACTCCCTCTGTCCCTGTCTCTCTCGCTCGCAGGGGTGCGGTGGAAGTGTCTGGAAGGTGCACGTCCTGGGGCCCGTGGCCTTCTGCTGGTGGCAGCAGCAGTGAAGTCCAGTTCCTGGGCCACAGGGGCTGCAGCCCAGGGCCCTCTGGTGGAGGGCAGACACTGTTCCCGGAAGCCGAGCTTATAAGCCGGGTCCTCCAGGCGCCCGGTGATTATGTGAGCTACTCCATGTCCTCGTAAGAAACTCCTCTCTTGCTTAATCAGCCAGAGCTACTTTTGTTGCTTGCAAATAAGAACCCTGACGGAGACATTAGGAAAGCTGCCGACAGAATTACCGTGAAAATTAACAACAAACAAAATATTTTCTAAATCTTTAGAATGGATGAAGGCTTGAGAGCAGCTCAGAGATTAGCTAACACGGTTAACCCCTCAGTTGGACAGTTGGAAGAGTAAGCTCCAATCCGTGCAGCTCAGCGAGACTCAGCCCAGCCTGGATCCCAGGCCTCCTGACTCCAAGGGCCCACATGACAGGTTCACCTTCTGAGAACCCATAGCTGAAAACTTCCCGGAAACACATGTCCAGCTGGAAAAAAACAAAGGCTGGATGTGAAAAGATTCTCCGTTTCATATGTCATCAGCTACCACTACACACCCATCAGAACAGCCAAAGTCCAGAGCCCTGGCGACACCGGACGCCAGTGAGGACGTGGAGCCGCAGGAACCCCACTCTTTGCTGGTGGGGGTGCAAAATGGTCCTGTCGCTTTGAAAGACAGTTGGACAGTTTCTTACAAAACTAAACACACTCTGGCCCTATGATCCAGCAATCACACTCCTTAGTATTTGACCAAAGGAGCTGAAAACTTACGTCCACACAAAAGCTCACACACAAACGCTTACAGCAGCTGTATTCATAATTGCCAAAACTTGGAAGCCACCAAGGTGTCCCTCAGTAGGTGAGCTGGTAAATAAATGATGCTACGTCTATAATGGAATATTATTCAGCACTGAAAGAAATGAGCTTTCAAGCTATGAAGACACACGGAAGAACTCTAAATGCTGTATATTACTAAGTGAGAGAAGCCAATCTGAAAAGGCTACGTACTGTGTGATTCCAACTCTATGACGCTCTGAAAAAGGAAAACCGATGGAGACAGTAACAAGATCAGTGGTTGCCAGGGGCTTTGGGGGAGGAAGGAATGAACAGGTGGAGCACAGAAGTGTTTTAGGGCAGTGAGGCTATTCTGTACGATACTATAATGGCAGGTACACAACGTTATACGTCTGTCCAGCCCATAGGAGGCACACCACCAGGAGTGAGCCTGAATGTAACCTACAGACTTTGGGCGACAAAGACAAGTCAGTGTAGGTTCATTATGGTGACAGATGTTCTACAAATGTTCTGTCTGGTGGGGATGTAGACAGTGGGTGAGCCTGTGCATGGCTGGGCCAGGGGTTACATGAGAAATCTCTGTAATCCATCTCCTAAATTTTGATGTGCACCTAAATTACTCTTAAAAAATTGTCTTGATTTTTTAAAATGTGATAAAAGAGGCACATAGATTTTAAAAGATTTCATAGGTGCATTAATTTAAAAAACCCAGAAACTAGAAAGGCTGGACCAACCAAGGACAAAGTTCAACCACAGAAGCAGAGTCTAGAGAAAGCAGCCTTCACCTGGGGTGAAGAGGGGGAAGCCTGGGGCATCATGTAGAGAACACAGTCCAGCCAAGGGGCCTGACGCCGGCTGCAGCTTCGCAGCCGGGCAGCCACCAGCTCAGCACCTCCCCGGAGCCCTCCCAGCAGGAGGGGTTCTAGCCCAGGTGCCTTCCCCAGGAACGCCATCTGAACTGCCCAGCTAGGACACAACACAGAACCAGCAGGAGGAGCTGCCTCCAGGTTCCCGGGCTGAGAGCTGGATCCAGCTGCAGCCAGCCAGAGAAAAGTGTGTCCACGTGACTCACAGACAGGACTTGAGACTTGACATGAGGGTTATTTATTAGAATTTCACTCGGTGGATTGCGACACCACCCTTCAGATTGGTCTCTGCGATTGGGCAATCCTCTAGCCCTATAAATAGGGTGCCATTCCAGCCTCTGGAAGCCGCTGGCAGCTCAGCCTCCAAGAAGCCACTCCTTTCCGGCATCAGGGCGCCCGCCAGCCACCATGAGGGTCCTCTACCTGCTGCTGCTGACACTCTGCCTGCTCGCCTCGCCGCTGGCCGCAGGTGAGTGTTGGGCCTGCAGAGCACGCTGGCCCCAGGGCTGGGAACTCGGGCAGGTTCTGAGAGCTGCCTCTTGTGTCCTGAGGACGGAGCAGCAGGAAGGCATCCCCACAGCTGAGCCCTGCGGTGGCAGCAGGCGAGACTACTGGGCCTGCAGCGTCTGGGGCGTTCCTGACCACTAGGAGCGAGCCTGCCTGTCAGGAGCATCCCCAGGCTGACTCCCCGGTGCCGAGAGAGGCCCGGCTGCAGGAGGGACAGACTCCCATCTCTCCCGGTCTGTCTCTCAGGGCTCCCTTCGCTCTGCGCTGGCAGGGATGTGGGGCCAGTGCCAGGCAGCTCCCAGCACCTCCCAGCTCTGTCTTTGTCTCAGACACCCAGAAAGTATCCTATGGGTAAGGGGCTCACCTACTCCATCTGCAAGACAGCTCCCCACACTGAGGTCAGCATCCCGGCCAGTTGGGAGGCCAAGCTGCTGCCCATCTCTCTCCAGCTCGCAGGGTGGGGCCTCCCAGGTGCCTCCCAGGTGCCTGCTGCAAGCAAGGTGCCGCCCGCCCCGCCCACAAGACCAGTTCAGCCGGAGCTTTGACTCACCTGCAGGCAGGCAGGCAGGGATCCACCTGTCTTAAGAAATCCATTCACATCCTCCAGGATAAGCCCTTCCCTGGAGCCCAGGAGGGGAGCGCTCTCTCAGGCCAGAGGAGGCCAGCTCCTCTGGATCAAGGCAGCAGTGTCCATGATGCAGGAGAAGGTGAAGCACATTTTATCGCAGCCCCGTCACCCACTCACCAAGTGACCCTGAGCAAGTCACATATTTAGTTTCCTCAGCTGACAGCTGAGGGGGCTGTGGCAGATGGCTGTAAAAGCATCCGCGCTCTGGGGTTCCCTGAAAGGTCCAGGTGTGCTTTTCTCCCGGCCACGACTCTTATCATGCGGACATGCCTAACCTACTCCAGGTGTGCCTCAGGGCCCCCGTCTGACCACTGGGCACAGAAGCATTCCAGTGCAGAGGTTCAGTGGTTCCAGCTGGAACCCGGTAGAGAGGTGGAGAAATCAATTCAGTGGTTTTTCAAATAGAAACTCGCAGCTGGGCAGGCCACACAGCTAGGGGCCCTGCAGTTCAGTGTGCTGTCGTTTTAGCTGCGCGTGCGCGTGTGCGTGTGTGTGTACTGAGCAGCTGCGCAAAATTCCTTACTGAAGCTCAGTTCACACTCAAAAATGTTTGAAAGCCACTATGTTAATGTGAAGAGTTATTCTCAGTCTGTGACCTCTAAATATGATTATGAGCATCTCATCCAAAGCACAGGAAATAAGTTTCCAAGGATATGCAGGAACAGCTAAGCTCACTAACCGCGCCGCACAGAACTATCAGTGACATAACGGGGCACCCAGGGTATACCGCGCTCGCTGAGATACCCCCAGGAGAAGCGTCTCTGACGACAGGCAAACCCTGTCCACACAGAACCTTCCGGAAACGGATTCTCAGCAGGGGGCTCGGGACCCTCGGGACTGGTCGCCGACACCCGCTCACCTTCTGTGAGGGGAGGAGCAGCGCCCACGTACCCCGCGGGGCTGAAGCCGGGTGGCCTTGAGCACCCGAGGCCTCTGCAGGCCCAGCTCCACCTTTAAGGTGCTGCCACTGTCCTGACACGGGCGCATCTTGAAAGAGGCCACAGGGAAGGGCAAACTTAACACAAGTGTTTTCTAGAGGGGTGTCGGGTGCCAGGCGCCACTGTCTGGAGGGGAAGGAGAGCCCCAGGTGTCTTCTGCCTTAGAACACGTGGTGTCCCCAGCCTGTGTCTCCCAGCCCTCACCCGCTCTCTGCTCGGCTTCCAGGCACCGTGTGGGGTGTTCTGTGTTGTTGTTGTGCCACTGCTATGAGGTTGTCACTGCCGCTGCAGCTGCCCACAGGCTGTCCCCCCACTGCCGACCGATGGACAGCTCGGGGTCAGTGCAGGAAGCCGAGCTGCTCAGCCCACCCTCACACCCGCCCCACCTGAGCCCCCAGGGTCGGGGGTGAGTGCATTCACCCCCTTTAGCCCCAGTCGTTTCACAGGTGGGGAAATCAAGACCCACATGACTGGACGAGGGTTTCTCAGTCATTGCAGGAAACAGTGAGACTGACGTTCCCTTAGGGGTTCTCATCACTGAGAGAAGAAAGAAACGGGTTGCCCACTGTTACTGCACACAGATGGTTCTCTGTGAACACAACGATGTCACAGTGACAAGGCGGCCCAGGTCCCTTCCTCAGCTGGACGGGACCCCAGCCAAGGTGTCTAGAAATCGAGACAGGTGGCAGTTGTTCCCTCACAGATTCAACAAATACTTAGTTAGGAGCTACTGCGTGCAGGCATTGCCCTGGGAACGTGGGGAAGGCCAGGAAAACACAGCCCCTGACCTTGCGACCACACATTCGAGAAGCAGAGCATGATGAGAAAACCGATTGTATGACTAATCACCTAATTACAAACGTGCTGTGAGAGGCTGTTAAGGGCACGGGGCCAAGAGGACCCCTGACAGTGGGGCTGAGCTGGTCTTGAGGAGCCAGGAAAGCTTTCTTGAGGAAGCTGAGAAGGGAAGGAAAAAGGGATGTCATTTTGATGTTCACAGTATTTTCCAAAAAAAAAATTCCTTCCCAACATTTAAGAGGCAGGATATGCTCCCCCAAAACCAGATTTCCATCTTGTCTTAAGAACACAAAAGATGTGGCAACAGTGGGCTGCAACTAAAGAGTGGCTGTGCCTCTGGACGGGCACCCTCGCCCCAGGCCCCACCACTCCCTCTCGCCTCGCCTAGCCGGTGGGTACCTGGACTTGCAGCCCTGAATTACATAAACTGGTGAGAGGGGAGAGGGCAAGGACAAACCAGATGGAAAGATGCGGGTATGAAAGGCCAGAGATGAAAAGAAAGAAAACAAGAGCTCTCACTTTGAATTTAGTCCTCACGGTGCCCTAGGGGGCGTTATCCCCATTTTGTAGGTAAATAACTTGACTGGTAAACGGCAGAGCAGGGACTCAAACCCAGGCCACCTCCAACGCCACCCTGCCAGCCTCTCAAAGCACAGAGGGCGGAGGGCGGGGGTGGGAATCAAGTGAGGCCTCGAGTGGCAGGAAGCGCATCTGGGCTCGGGGACCCCCAGAGGGTTTGTTTTGAGTGTTTTTGCAATAACCTCTTTTACTTTTGTAGAAAGTGATATATACTTATTTTTGTTGTTGTTAAAATGTCTTCCTACTTTATTATTTCTTTAATTGAAGTCTGGTTAGTTACAATGTGTCAATTACTGGTGTGCAGCACAATGTCCCAGTCATGCATTTACATACATATATTCATTTTTATATTCCTTTTCATTAAATGTTATTACAAGATATTGAATATGGGTCCTTGTGCTATACAGAAGGAATTTGGGGGGTTTTTAAACCTATTTTTATATATAGTGGCTACCATTTGCAAATCTCAAGCTCCCAAAAACCTGGAGAGTGACACACTCAGAAACAGCTTCTCTAAGGGGCTGGTGTGCTGCGGCACGGAGGCTGGTCAGGGGCTGGTCAGGGGCTGGTCAGGGGAGGCGGCGAGGCTGCTCCTCCCGTACACAGAGCCGTTTCCCTTACAGCTGCACTTTTTTGCCAGATGATCAGCAAAATTAAACCAAAATTAGTGCTCCTGACAGAGACATCGCCTGCTCATCAGGACCCTTCTCTCATCTCCCTCCGGGATACCACATGCATTCGCGGGAATCCAGGCTCCAATTTCCTCACCTTTAAAATGAGGGATTCAGCAGAGTGACTCCCAGCCCCGATGTTCAGTGGCCCTCCACCTCCACCTCCACCTCCACCTTGCCTTCTCCACACCTGAGTGCCTCACTTTAATCCCCACTCCAACCTGCTTGCCTGAATTCCTTCCACCTATCAGACCTCGGGCAACAGCCACCAGGAATGTGCCGGCTACGGCCCCGGGATCCCATCCAGAAAAACATGCTTCCTTAGAAACAGGCCCCTGTGACCTATGAATCAGGCTTGACGGAGGCACCTGGTTAGCAATGCAGGAGAAACTCAGCTGGCCTCCAAAACACCGGTTCCAAGTGCCACCTGAGGCACTTCAGAGCTGACAAAAGCAGCTCCCAGGGCACGGTCTCACTAATTGTCCCCAGAATCTGCGTCACACGGACTGCTATTATCTCCACTTGATAGCTGTTTTGCTGTGAATCTCAAAGAGACTGACTTTTCAAGTACCCAGCCTGCAAATAACAAGAACTCGAATCCAGCTCTGCCTCCAGACCCTATATTCTTTCCCCACACCTCCCAAGGACCTCTGGATATGTCACCAGGCGCATGGGTTTATCTTAAGGATAATCTAGATGAGATGGAATTGAATTAAAACTTAACAATAACTTAATGTGAATTTAATAAGAGGCATTGCAGGTTGTCGACGGCCAGCATGGGTTTTGGGGCGAGCAGGGACTCCAGGGGTTACATGTTTGTGAAAGTGGACCCCAGACCTTCGGTTATATCCTGGTTTGGTTTGCAGTTTTGTTCTTTGTTTTGCAGGAGTGGCTTGTATATATTTGATTTCTTCCCCAGATAGTTTGAAAGAGGCGAAGTCTGTTCCTCTCGGGCCCCCACTGACCGCCTGGACAGCACCAGCCCCTCTCCTAGGTTGACAATTTTATTTTAACGCCCCCAGTGGGAGGGAACCCACATACCGGGGAGCAACCCTTCCCCCGGCAGGACTGCCAACCAACCACCTTGTCCTGATCGGGGAAAGAGCCTCGCCCACCTGCCAGGGCCCACGCGGCCCCCATAAGCTTGCTTCCCCCGGACAAGTCCGAAGACGTGTCCACACAGGTGTGGGGCTCCACGCTGGCGCGGAGGAAAGCTGGGCTGCCTTCTCCGGCTCCTTCGCCTCTGCCTCCGTGTCTGCTCCCCTCTCATCTCAGATCCACGGGTCATGTGAGCCCTGCCCTGACCCCTGGCACCCTCCGAGCCTGTGTGTTCACTGCTGGCTCCGCA